ACCTAGATATTCCTAGAGATAACATATGAATAAAATCTGTGAATAATCAGATCCTTAAAAGTCAAAGCCACAAATGTGGAGGGATAAGTGTACTTCCCATGATCCATCACCACTGCCCATGCTGGCTTACAGCTGCTGGGAATCCCAGTCTGACAACATCTTGGAGGGCTGCACTGTCTCTCACCCTTGTCGATGGAGACTGATGTATCAGACAGCAGGGACTGGATTGTGTGGAGCTGCAATGAAGGAAAGCTGCAGTGATGGAGGCCAGAGTTGTGCACTGCGCACAACCCCCCTTGCACCCCCTTTGTTGTTGTTGTGTTCCTTCAAGTCATTTCGAACTTATGGCAACCCTAAGGTGAATCTATCATGGGGTTTTCTTGACAAGTTTCTTCAGAGCAGGTTTGCCATTGCTATACTCTGAGGCTGAATGTGGTTTACATGACCTATCCAGGATTCGAACCCTGGTCTCCAGAGTCCTAGTCCAATGCTCAAATCACTACAGTTCTTTCCTACCTCTTTGGCTATGTGGCTATCATTTTTAGGAATTAGAATAGCCAGCTCTGTTCAATTATGGGAGTGATTTTTGGCTGTTTGGGTTCAAGTATGGAAACAGCATTGTAAGACAAAACTCTACTCTCTAAAGATGTCTTTTTCCACCTGAAAATCCCTTTTTTCCAATCAAAATTTGGCAGGGAGCATGTGCCCCCTGTAGCGAATGCGGCCCATGGGCTGCATTTTTCCCATCCCTACTGCCCATAGTCTTGTCCTTTGCTTCAGTCAGCAAAATAACTTGAGCCAGTCCTACAAGACAGCATAGTTCTTTATTTTGTATGTGTGTGCAAATTAAAGGAACCAAGCCTTGTTCTGCAGTATGTTAAGACATGAATCCTATTGTTAGCTCCAACAAGAGTAGACTCATGGAATCAATTAAACTTACATTAAAGTTAATGTACCAATTAACATTGATTCAGTGGGTCTACTATGGTTAGGATTAACAGGATTTAAACCTGAATCCCCCCCTCCCCAAAATCTAAGTTGGGGTTTGTAATATTTTAAGCATTCAGTTGGGGAACATGGGATTCCTCTCTCTGACTGTCGTCTTCATTCACTCATGCTCTGTTTTGAATAGTATCTTTAATTAAGTGGTTGACTGATGCAGTAGCCTTCTGAGCTGTTATTTTATCAGCCTGCAGTAGGAGGTAATTTTTTAATCCCACCACCACCAGTGAAATAGTTATTTGCATATAGTAATATGAACATAAAAAAGAAAAAGAGTTAGCATAAATATGTCCTTGTTATGCCGAGAGCTTTCAGTGAATAAGACTATCCAAATTTATGAATAAGACCATCCATGAGCAGTATAAAGCATCATCATCCAAAACGCCAATCCCTTAAACTAGTGCCAGTAGGAAAGTTCAGACATGTATTGAAGCGATAGAAGAAGACTGGGTGTTAGGACTAACTTTGGTGCCTGCTCCCTACCAGTAGGATTGCCAGATCTCAAGGCCTAAGTCTCACGTTTTCATGGGTCATCTCCAGGCAGGGGACAAGGGTGCGAATTCTTCAGTTTGGGGAGGCTCAGCTCCAAACATGATGAAAGAGCTGAGTGCCAATCTCCTGTTCAACAAGTACAGCAGCAGGATGCTACAATTTGCAAGGTTTAGTTGATTTATTCTTTTGTCTTGCAAAGACTCTCCAGGAGGTTTTCTTTGTTTATAGTTTCCTCCTTTCCTCCCACTAGTTGTGGCACCAGGACTTCCCCTCCACTCTGCTCTGCATCCAACTTCTGACTAGATGCAGTTGAGGTAGATTAAATGTTCCTTATCCCATCTCCTTCAGTAAATGAGAAAAAAAACAATCCCTTCACTTCAGCTTGATCTGGGAGCAGTTCTTTTAGCTAAGGTTTCTGTCTTAATTTCCAAACATGAAAGTATGTTCTTCATGTGTGTGTGTGTATTTGTGTGTGTTGTGTTTGAGTGACAAGTTGTGAGCAAATGTGGTTGGTACTTAATGTATAGCAGCCAGTGTGTCGTAGTGGTTTGAGTGTTGGACTATGACTCTGGTGACCAGGATTCAATTCTCTGCTCAGCCATGGAAACTCACTGGGAGAGACTTTGGGCAAGTCGCACTCTCTAGCCTCAAAGGAAGGCAAAGGCAAGCCTCCTCTGAACAAATCTTGCCAAGAAAACACCATGATAGGTTCGCCTTAGGGTCTTCATAAGTCAGAAATAACTTGAAGGCACACAACACAACACACACATTCTTAATGTATAGTGCTTAATGAAATCACACCAGGGGCTGTTCCTAGGTCCCATAAACCTCAGGACCTGGGTCAATCTTGAACAGGCAACCTTATCTACAAACCATAGCAGAAACAGTTGCCCACCATCATCAATACACTCCGCCAGAACAGGAATGGGCTTTACTTTGTGTGTGCTGATATCCTGCATTGGGCCCATTCAGAGATATTCCTCCTGTGGACAAACTCTGCATGTTCAATTCAGTATATTAGTCAAAGACCTGGACAGTGAGAAAGCTGTCCCCCTCATGGTACAGTCGACCCTCCATATCCATGGATTCTTTATCCACGGATTCAAGCATCCACAGCTTGAAAATATTAAAAAATAATATAAATTCCAAAAGCAAAACTCGATTTTGCCATTTTATATAAAGAACACCATTTCACTGTGCTTAATGGGACTTGAGCATCCATGGATTTTGTTATCCATGGAGGGTACTGGAATCAACCCCTAGTGGACACTAAGGGCCTGCTGTACTTGGGATGCAGGGCCACAAAGCGCAGCAGCATCTGGGGCAGGGTTACTCCACATGGCCCCATAACTCTTACTCACACCTTGCAGCCTGTATAATGTGAAGTGACAGGCAACAGAATGCAGCAATAGCCTGAAACAATAGGCTATTATTGCTTCAGGCTGTAACTGGGAATGCTTTTGTGTTTTGTTTTTTAAAGATGATAGATAGGCAAACATCCTGAATAGACAGATTCTGTCTCAAGCTTTTACTGCAACCCACAGGAAGCTTTTTAAGTGTTTTAACACAGGAAGCTCCATCATAAAATGTTCATGCTGGCTTTCTACAATCTCATTCTTCTGCATGTGTGGGTCCATCTCGGATGCTATACAAAGCCCAATCAATTGGGTAAAGGAACCCCACAGCTGCACCTTTTTTCATAAAAAAAAAAAAGCACCTCCTGCTCTTGCTTTCCTTAGATCCCTTATGGGATGGTCCTCAGGGAGCACCAGCGGTGTTTAATACTAGTCTCAAATATAAAACCAGTCAAGATCTAGGCCTCAGACAGTTGTACTCCACCCTCTGTCTGCCCGTAAATCTTCAGTCCCGACATTGCCCCCTCCCTGCCTCTGGGTAGAGAAGGAGGGGAGATTATAATGCGAATTGGATAGAAGTTCAGAGCAGCCTCATAAAGATTAATTACGATTAGAGGGCTTTTAGCACATTAATCGTGTACAACACTGGCATTTTATGCCAACTCCATCTTCCGCCAGAGGGGAAGGGGGGGAAGGATGCAGCCTGGGTGCCTTGATCCGCAGATCACAATTAAATGTGTGTGTTGGGGGTAAAAGGAGGGAGATGGGGAGAGGGATGCAGAGTTAAGATTCCTGGGTTCATTCGACTGCTTTGAGAGAAAGGAGAGAAATCAGTTTGGTTGAGCCAGAGGGAGCACAGAGTGGAAGCCAGATGTCATGAAAAATATTAACGGTAGATCCAGCAAACAGCCAGACAGTCCTACATGCCTCCTGCCTGTGCCTCTAAGCTCCAATATAAACTCCAGTTTTTAGTATCTTATGGATTATTTTCTTCCTTCCAAATAAAGAAGACCCTCTGGACCACGCTTGACAACCCAGTTCTTCAGACCTAATCCAGGTGGCTATCATCACTCTCTGTGTCTCCTGCTTGCTTCTTCTAAAAATTCTTCACACTGAAGATGTGGGAGTGAACAGTAGCCAGTAATAAAAATTGCCAGAAACCACCAAGAGTCCATTTTGGAGGCAGGAGTGTCTCCGTTTTATGGATCGCCTCTGCCCCCTGCCAAGCCCCTTCACACCCCTGCAGTTTGAGCTCTTGGGCTGCTGTAACATTGCAGAATTAATGCAATTTGACATCACTTTAACTGTCACAGCTCCATCCTATGGGATTTGTAGTTGTGGCACCAGAGCTTTCTGACAGAGAAGACTAAATATCTCACTAAACTACAAAACCCAGGGTCATAAGAGCCATGGCAGTTAAAGCGGTGTCAAACCACATTCATTCTGCAGTGTAGATTTATTGTTGATGATGTTAACCACCTTTGAGTCGATCTTGACGTATGGGGACCCTGTGGATGAGACATCTCCAAGACTCTCTGTCCGCCTCCGCTCTGCTCAGGTCCTTAAATTCATACCCATGACCTCCTTAATAGAGTCCATCCATCTAGCATGCGGTCTTCCTCTTCCTTCTACTTCCTTCCACTTTTCCTAGCAGCATTGTCTTTTCTAGTGAGCTGTGCCTTCTCATGATATGTCCAAAGTACGACAACCTTAGTTTAATCATCCTGGCTTCCAGGGAGATTTCTGGCTTGATCTGTTCCAGTACCCATTTGTTTGTCTTCTTGACCATCCATGGTATCCACAGCACTACATCTCAAATATGTTGATTTTCTTCTTATCTGCTTTGTTAATTGTCTAGAATAGATCATGCACCCATACATTGTAATAGGGAATACAGTTGGCCCTCCTTATCCATGGATTTTTTATCCATGGATTCAAACATCCATGGCTTGCAAATGTTTTTTTAAAAGTATAAATCTGCATGCTAGATGGATGGACTCTATTAAAGAGATCATGAGTATGAGTTTATAGGAGCTGGGCAGAGCAGTGGAGGACAGGGAGTCTTGAAGATTTCTTATCCACAGGGTCGCCATAGGTCAAAATCGATGCGAAGGCAGTTAACAACAACAAATAAATTCCGAATAGCAAACCTTGATTTTCCATTTTATATAAGGGACACCATTTCACCACACCATTGTGTTTAATGGGACTTGAGCATCCACGGATTTTGGTATCCATGGAGGTGTGTGCCCTGGAACCAAACCCCAGCAGATAACAAGGACCCACTGTATAATGGCTTGCACGATTCTAACTTTTGGACTCAGTTGTATGTCTTTGCTCTTTAGGATCTTTTCTAGTTCTTTCATAGCCACCTCCCCAGTCTTCTGATATCTTGACCAAGGTCCTTGTTCAGTGTAGGTGCAGCCTTTCTGAGAAAATGGGTGGCAGATGATGATGTCTGGCGCAGAGCCCTTTTCCACCTTCCTTCCTGAGACCTCTGTGCGCCCTGACCATCTGCCCTGGGCCTTTACCCGTCCCCAGGGACTCCTAAAGAGCCACTCAGGGTGAAGCTGAAGCAATTGATTCTTTCCCTTAAATGTGAGGAGGAGGAGAAGATGGGGAGGGAGGGAGGGATGTGGGGAGAAAAGCTTGCCCTTGCAAAGAAGAGCAAGGTCCATGGCTCCCCAGAGGCCTAGGAGCGCTTCAACAGCTGCTTAGGAGCACTGGAGCAATAGGGTTTGGTGAGCTATTTCTCTGCTGATGCTGAGAGAAAGAGAGGCAGGCTGTGCCAACCCTTGGACGAGGAAAACGGTCAGAGAGGGGCTGGCTGTGAAGGAGGATCCAAGGAGGACCCACTGGAGAAGAAATGGGCCTTTAGTGCAGGATTCCAGGTCTGGACATTTCTTGCAAATGGGTCTCCTCCCCCTCCAGTTTGCCTTATCTATCTATCTATCTATCTATCTATCTATGGTACACTAACATCCCCAATCCACAAGACAATGATAACTTGATGGACCAACCAAAATGCACAATATACATGTTGCAAGATTTCAAAGCTCCAAGCTGCAACGTAGTTTGGTTTGCCCGATAAAGGGTATCACTGTTTTGTAGATTTGGGATGTTATTGCTACATGGCCAACATGGCTAAATTTTTATATATAAATATAGATATAACACACACATGTGCATGCACACACACACACACACATATATATATATATATATATATATAGTGACAGCCAGTGTGGTGTAATGGTTTGAGCATTGGACTAGGACTCTGGAGACTAGGGGTTGAATCCTGGCCTGGCCACTGGGTGATCATGGGCAAGCCACACTCTCTCAGCCTCAGAAGATGTCAATGGCAAACCCCCTCCAAAGAAGCTTGCCAAGAAAACCCCATGATAGATTTGCCTTAGAGTTGCCTTAAGATGGAAATGACTTAAAGGTGTATATATATATATATATATATATATATATATATATATATATATATACCTTTAAGTCATACCTTTAAGTCATACACATATATACACACACACACACACACACACACACATACATACATACAGAGAGAGAGAGAGAGACTCTCACACACACACTGGACTCCACAGTTCAAAAAGGAGGTTGAGAAGCTGGAGTGCATCCAGAGAAGGGTGACCAAAATGGTGATGGGTCTGGAAACCATGCTCTAGGAAGAGAGACTGAGGGAACTGGGGATGTTAAACCTAGAGAAGAAAAGGTAAGAGGTGGCATGATAGCCCTGTTTAAGTTTACGAAAAGTATGTGAAAGGGATCTAGGAGTCCAAGTAGACAATAAGTTGAACATGC